TCACAACTTAATGGATTTCTGTCATGCAAGTCAAGATTTGTCAAGGTCTTTTGAATGTGGCAGTTAATTACCTGCAACTTAAAATATTCATTAATGCAACATTGAAACCAAGCATGTTTGTGTCATGTAATGTTTAAGTGATGCAATCTCTGTCAGACACAACATACGCAATGTAATGTTAGTTCCTCCACCTCTAATTCTGCAGATACATGCAAATGAATATGACTTAAAATGTTTCAGAAAAAAAGCCCCCCTGTAGGCAGGCCGCGGTTGGGGTTAAATGTGGGGGTTTGGAGTTGGAGGGGTTGGCTGGAGGAGGTCTCAGCTGGCTATGCTCCGAATCAAAATTTGGCCTAAGTTCTTTATGTCATTTCTCAAGTTGGGGCAATTTAAATGGTAAAAGGGTCCACTTTTTTCAGGAAAAGGAACCCTCCTTTGATATTGCTAGTTGACTGCTTGTAAAACAAACTGATATCACTGAAAACCCAGTGTCAAAACATTAATTCCACTTAAATCCTTTTATTCTATGAAAAAATACTTTACATAATGAGTCTGAGATTAAGCTTAAATAAATCAGAATTCAAGGACTGGTTTGTTTGATTCCTTGCAAGATGAGGCCTAGTATATATCCATGTATTAGCTGCAAGCAATCTTTCTCAAACAACCAGTGCTCAAAGTTCTCGTTCCAGGAATGATTTACAAGCCTTTCTGCGATTGTGTGATCTAGAATTCAATAAAACAGGACTGCTGAGGCCAGTGTATTCAGGCTTTATGTGTTTTATATAGCTTCAGGTGTATATATGTTCTAGTACGTGTATACATAAGTGCACACATCTATGGGTGGGGTTGGGGGGTCAAGTGGGGGGTAGGGGTGGGGGTAGAGTGAAGATACAACATGTAGGGGGTGGGGGTGCATGGGGGTGGCAAGAGCTAGAATGGGGTATAAAGGTAATAATGTGGAAAACTTGTCATGATGTTAAAAAACATACCCTGTTAGATGCTAAAATCTCTGGTGAGATTATTGTGTAGTGTGAATGCAACCATCAACAACATTTAGAAGATTCAGATAAAGGAAATGCAGCAACACTTAAATAAATATAAATAAGGGTGTAATTGACAAGTTTTACAAAAGTAACGTAATTACTTAAGGAAACAACAAAAAAGTGCTGTTTCAAGAAGACTGAATCAATACAGCTACCAGTAACCATATCAGACAAATTCTATATTATTCAGCATTTGAATAAATCAAGAGGCTACAGCATCCCTTTGGCAAAAAAACATGGCATTTCACATTCTAAGCAATGCCACTCAAATTTGTTAACAGACTGAGCAGATTCAAAGATCAAAGAAACTTAACTTGGAGAATTCTTCCAAGGCTATGGTCTATATTCTGTTGTCATATACCATACTAGTAAGCCTCTTGATGAATAAAGCTACGGAAATTGTAGTCTGAATATACAGACATGTAAAAATTACAATCATTATAATTGTCATTATTGCTATCATTATCATTATCATCAAACCTTGAGTACTTTTTTTGGTATTAAAGAAAAACAAACAAATGTGCATGCACAAAACATACTTTGGGTTTTTCTTCTCAGTGGTGACAAGAGCCCATTGAGGTATGTCAACTATACCTATTGAGTGCCAACTGTTTGTAAAAAATCTTTGAGCATAATACCACAAAACTGAACCAACATAAACAAACAATCATGCTTTTTGCAAAATAGGGCCTAGTATTTAGAATCAATCTAATCTGATTGACTAATTTCACCCATCGATTTTCAACTTCCGCGTGGCAGTGGAAGACATCTCCCATTGTTCCAAATCACAAATATATTTCAGACATCTCTTAATGACTTACTCAATAGAAACGGACGCGGGACAGACAGATCAGATACAACACAGAGTCTGGTTTATTGGATTGTGCTTGTTAAGCTTTACACAGTATTGGTACCCATACGTGATAACTATATATCAGTACTTAGTATGTCTGGGATGATACAGCACTTAAAGCACTTAAAGCTACAACTGACGGCATGTTTTAGCTTAAAGATATACTTTACACTCCAAAAAAGTTCCAAAGGCATATTTTCAATGTCTTCATATCCTGCTAATTAAGCCACTAACATTTGGTTCCAAGTTCCACATTAAGACACACCAAAGCCCAGAAAAATTGTTGATTAAAATGTTTGAGAAGTGATTTCATTGGCTCCATGTCAGAAAATAAATTTTTTGCAAGTGTCTCAAAATGATATATATTTAAAAAGTAAAAAATAAAATAAAATAAAAAAGTGTGCCTATTAAATTAAATTTAGAACTTTTCATTATATTGATCGATGGGCCCCCAAGTGGTTATGGTATCTGATCATGAAGTCTACACTGGTAAGGGCTTGGATAAAACTGTATTCATGGAAGAAGTGTTGAGAATATTTATCAAATTATATTATTTATCAAATTATTTATAACCTTCACCGTGGAAGTTATGTTTGGTTTATTAGATTTTTATGAAACTTTCAGGGTAGGTCAGATACGGGCTCACTTAAAAGATATAATTTTTGTGGCCATGTATTTAAGAATTAATGGTTAATTATTAGTTAACTGTTTGTCCTGGCAGTCTTCTGCCCTCTCTTAGTGGTTTTCTAGTTTTTTCATGTTTTCCAAGCAGCTCCACTCCTTGACGTGTTCGTGCAAAATTTGTATATATACAAAAAGTGAGTGATTGGACATTCTTTTATAGATCCTCATTTCCAAATGAAAAAGAAAACAATTTTACTAATACAATTTTTCTACCAAACAGCTTTTAATTTAAACAAAATATGTACCAAATTACAGGAAAAATTATCACCTTAAAATTTAGTCAAAGGGGAATAGAATTTTTGTTTCCAGATTGTTTATGTAAAGCTTTCCTTTTATTAGTTTATTAACTCTGTTGATCCAACTCCCTTTAGGTGATTTCACCTCAGGAATGATTAAATTACTGGTACAGCATTTGATATTTTTCACAGATAAATCACTTCCATGGCCAAAGGTTTAATCTCATCAGCAGCTATCTCAGCTGTAGTATAATTCTAATCACTAGATTCTGCTTTTATAATGTGTTTCAATGGCTGATAGACCTCCCAATGGTTTGTTTTAATCAATATATATTCATCTTATACCTATCTGTAATCATTTTCCCACTGATCCCCAAGCTATACTTTAAAAAAAGGGAAATTACTAGACTGCTATTATATAGCATTAAAAAAATATGCATCAAATGCAACATATGATTTCAACTGGATAAAAAAAGGAAATACCCCATGAATCTTTTGCCAACTTAGCATTGATTTTTCTAGACTACATTTATTTGCCTCAAAACATAGAATATGCCAGCTTGACCTGAAGATTGCTTCATATTTTGTCACAATTAAGGCATAGTACGTGCTGTCACTGAAATATATCATTTAGGGGACAGCAGAAGTTAAACCATGGGGGGGTTATTGGTCTGTCAAGTTCCATTGTATCTCACAAGAGACTTGAGCTTTCAGGGGTCTCTGGATTTTCCTTTCATTTGGTTGTTCTGCTCATGTCATGTAGTATGTACACACACACACACACACACACACACACACACATCTTTCCACCTATTTTATTTCTTTCAAGCATGTTTTCAGCCTTAGATCCATACTTGGGTTTGAAAAATACCTTAGTCACACCAAAATACGCAACATTAATCTAACAAGATTACACTAAATAAATAGTACACTGACAAAACATAATACGGAGTGTGAACAGCAACAAGGCTCTATCCATTACATCATTTATCAAGCCACACTAAAAGATAATCTTATTGTGCAAACCAAACAGTGATTCTCTACACCGTCAAAGAAAACCTTTGATATTGTGATCAAATCAGTTAAAGAATTCAATATATGACATTAAACTATCACAGGTACCAGCATATATTAGACCTAGTGGCCTAGTATAAATGGTAGTTTTAACAGATTTCCAGGTACGTGACTGATTCTTATAAAAAGAAAAAAAAATTGCAGCCTTCATGATGTACCGGCAAAGTCATTGTGAAAGAAGTATGCCATATTTTTCACAAAATTATTAAACAATCACCCATTCATATGTTTAAAAATTAGTTTTGTTGCCTTATATTATCAGTCATCAATTTTAGAAGGTAGGTCAATACTATGACTGGTGCTAACATATTTGATCTACATGCTAACCTTATTTAAAAAAAAAAACATAAAAACAACATTAAACTGCATGCATACAAGAAGTCTCATACTAAAATTATACTCCTATATAAACTAGAATGGTTCCATAAGAATTTTTTTAGTTGAGAACCTAATATACAGTGTACTGTATAGTGCATGTTTAAGTTGAGCATCTATAAACTTGTATTATAAATACATGCCTATGGTATAAATCCAATAAAACTGCAATGCAATGCATCAACCGGTAGTATGATTCAAAGCAGAAACTAATTTTATGGAAAATGTTTGGTGGATGTTGTTTTAACATTTAGACATACATGTACTGTATGTCAGCGTACATGATACATATCATGTGCATGACTGTAATCATATATACTCCAAAGCTGCTCAAGTACCTGGGTATGTTTGAAACACCTAAAGTGTTTTAGAATACATTTAAATAATTTGAGAACTAAGTTCAGGTACATAATGTAACATGATAAATTCAGGAATAGAAAAGAAAACTTTTTATAAAAAGATACAAAACTTTTCATTGGAGCACACAGGAGTTGTAATTTATTAGTACAGAAACAATTTTTTTAAATATTAAAAATAAGTTTAACAATACAATTATCGTATTTAAAAACACTTATAAAACAAAATGACTCAAGCGTTTCAAATCCCAAGTGTGTGATGTCACTCGTACATCATCATTAAACTTCGCACGCACTGACATGACGATAGCTGAACTTAAAGTGGGAGGGCCTAATTAACCCCAACGTACCCCAGCTGAAATTGTGCTGATCTACTTACGTGACAAAAACAGGATATATCAAATTATCCGTTGTTATGGTGACATTTGTCTCTTGCCATGCTCTGACGGTGGGGTAGTGATATCCGCTGTGTAGTATAGCGTGCGAGGGATGAGCGTGGTGATAACCGTGTGCCATGCTGGCTGTCTATGTGTGCGTGTGCGGTTTGTGTACGTTTCACACCTTGTTCACTAGAGGGCTACGCGCGCAAGACAGGACTTATTTCAGTTAAAGATCGTACGTGGCGCTGGTCACCTACATATGTACATAGCACACATATGTACAATCTTTCTTGCATTTTGATATGTGTTTCCGTGACTCAGAATGCCATGTGGTTTTATAAAATAGATATTGTTTTGGGCAAATAAAAGTTATGGAAAAATGAAATTCCGTAAATCTTTTTTGTTGTCAGGAACATATGGACACAAGCATGGGTATCGCGATTTTATTGCAGAAACATTTCTTCTTATCAAGCCGCAAACAAGAATAAAGCGGCAAGACTGTGCCATTTAGAGTTTCAGAGGAACGTGTTGAAACTCGCCTCTCTGTTCTCCTCAACCAACGTTACCATTATAAAGCAAATTATTTGGAAACGGATGCAGCAACGAGCTTTGGGGAAGAATTTTGCGAATGACAATTAACAACCTTATTTTATTTTCTTAATGTTTTTAAAACATTTATTTGCACTTAAATTTTTGTATAATTTAATCATTTGGTTTCTGTGATTTGAAATAAACCTGTTATATTGTATGTACCTCCCGCTCGACACTTCGTTATTGTAGACTTAACGCCTTCCGTAGTTTGTACCTATCCAACAATTTTACCCCATATATCTCACTTTTTTGTTGCTGTGTGCACCTTCCTTTATTTTTTTAAACGCTGGAAAATTTGTCAAGTATTGATTAAAGAGACCGAGAACAGAGGACAGTGTGACGAAATACTAAAGTAGAAGAAAAAAACACTATTAAACGAGCAGGTTCATTTCAGAAACTCGAGTTTAGCTTAGACCAACAAGCCGCAACCCCAGCCCCCCCCCCCCACCCACACACACACACACACACATTTATACCCATGGTGTTTTAACATTGTAAAAATGTCATACTGTGACTTTGAATGTCAAGATATTATTTGAGGACAGCTAGTTTAGGGACAGTGGAACTTATTCCACAGATGCCATATGTTACTTTCGTTTTTATCAGCGTGACGTCACAGTGACGGCAGAGGGCGGAAGCATCAAACGAGATGAAAGAGTCTCGGGGAGCAAGTTGCATGACAGCCGGCTTGAGACTACCTTGCATTGGTAAGATGCCAGTGGATTCTATTTCAAGAATTATGTGAAATATTGTTTATGTACTGTGCTTACATGAAGTCTTTAAATTGATATATCCGAACTTACAATTTAACAGTGAAATATGTAACGTGCATCATTGTTGTCATGTACATGTAGGCCCTAATGTTTATTACACGCACACGCGATTTAGTAGTTCATCGATGCCCTTTCAGTTCCATGATTTATTACTTAAAACTGGTTCACAGAGTGCAATATTTTTGTCACTGTTTACTTATTGTTTGTGGGAGACACCTTTTTTTTTTTAAGAATTGCCTTTCCCTGGTTTTATGTATAATTATATTTTAATAAGTATAATTACTAGCATTTTTTCATTATCATGATTGTATTTTCTTTTGGAGTTCATGTGGTTGCTTGGTGTTCTGATCTTATTTGTTAAAAAAGATATGAATGCCCCCATAATAGATCTAGGGTATCTTGAGTCCAATGCCTCACTTCCTTTAAAACAGAATCACTTCCACAGTAATTTGCACCAGAATTTTCATAAGTGAACTTCAAGTATTAATACAATAAGATATATATAAAATAGATAGAAAATTTATTTTTGATTACGTCCATGCACTGGTACCCAATGCTACAAATCTCTTACAAGAATTATATTCATGAAAAAAGGGACATTTACTTGTAAAGGATGTGTTATATTACAGCCCCCTAGCTGTTACTACCTGTATTTATATCTACCTGTAGCAATTAAGTTAACTGCCATTGTCATTGCCTTGACACCTATCTCCTTTGTCAAATGAAGCAGTTCCAGATGACTGTGATTGCTGTCTAACATCCTTTTGTCAGTTCACTACTGTTTAATATTATCAGTATATCGTAGGAGAGGTACAGTACCAGGTTCACAAAATGTTTACAGTTCTTGCATGGATAAATTAAGCTAAGGGGGAATTCTTAGTGAGTATGATTGCAAGGTCTTTCAACTTAAAAAAATGGTAAGTGACATACAACACATATTTTAAGCTTTGGTTTTTGGTGAAACTTTTGATTTTGGTGTCTTAAATGATGAAGGTATAAGTTGCAGAAAAATACTCCTTGAAAATGTTTCCAAATTATTTCATTGTGTTTTAAAAGGTGTTAAAGAAAGGTATATTTTTCTCAAAGAGATTACTTAGACACTTTCTGCTGTACTAATTTAAGTTTTATGACCTTGTGTTGGGAAGCAGTAAATTTGTTGCTAATGAAATCCAGCCTTACAAATACCCTCTTTTAAATGTCAAGATGATTCTTTACTATTCAAGCTGGAAAACATCAGGGACTGCTATCAGCTGTAAAAGGAAGCTCTAGGCAAAGTGAATGTGGTCATTTTTTTTACTGAAGTTGAATAAAATTTATTCACAAACAGCATTTTGTTCATGCATCATATTGTAAAAAATAGATTTGGAGACTCAGATTGAGATTGGTTCACATCAGATTTTTTCTCTTTTTTTATTGTGAGTAGCTTAATATCATGCACCTGTAGAAATTATAAAATGTTTTATTTTCAGTGCGTCGTTTGAAATGTCTGAACAAGTACCATATTGATGGATGGAAGCTAGGAATACATGTAGGTATATAATCTTAAAGGAAAATCCTGATAAAGTCAGGCATTGAAGGTATTTGTAAAGACAAGTAATTGATAGCTTACACCTGGTTTTCTAATTGTTGTTAATTAAATTAATTGGAAACGAGTCATTTCAATTATTTTAACCATATGTATCTCCAGAATTGCATTCTACTAGTATAAGAAGAAGCTTTAGGATGCTGCGCTTTATTTAGACACAGTAAAGTCACGGAGTATACATACTTGTGCAGCTTATGGTTGCCCCCTTAATGTGTCTTGATGTATGATACTTGAAAGAACAGTTTGTTACTGATTAAGCTCAAGTACACAACAGTGTGTTGCAAGGGTTTGAAGAAATCAACTATGTAAGATGTGCTCCTGCAGGTGTATTTGCCAACGCTACTGTGCATGGGTAAGATACTAACACCTGAAATATTCATCATCATCATCATCATGGTGGAATCGATTTGAGAAACTTGACCTGCTTGATGTAAGAGTATGGCAGTTTAAGCCCTACTTAGTTGGAATCTCTTTAGTTCTAAAGATAAACAGATGAATCAAAAAGCCATTATCAAAAGAAAAAATACCAAAGTGATATTGCAAAATGTTAAATGAAATTACAGCTGTATGTGCATTACTGTTGTATGGATGATCAAGCTTTGATATTATTAAGTCACAGTAGATACATGTAAAAATGTTTCTGAGCTGAATTACTGTAGGCATATTTGGAATGTATTTTCAAAATAATATTTTTTTATTATTATTATTAGAATCAATGGTTTTTGTGAAAACTCTAACAACCTGGTATTAAAAATGCAAATTAAATTCCAGTATCAGGACAGCTACTACTTAATATTTTAGTGGCAACCTTTCCCGACTTGTATTTCAATTTTCAGTTACACCAGAACTTCCCCTTTAAAAAGGTATGTATGTACTTCAGTGGTAAAGTTAAAGCATGGTCTGCAGTATTTAACTAGTCCAGGCCATTCTTATCATCATCAGAGGCCAGTTTCACAAAACATATATAGATTTAAAATAAGTTAACTTCTAGATGTAAACTTTAGTCTACCGCTGTTCAGTATGCAAGTAAATCCATAGTACCTGGCAGCCCATATAAATAAAATAAGTATCGATCAGAAACATTAGTCGTGCCTGCCCTGTTATAAACCAGGAACAGTATTTAATTTATTTTAAATGGAGTTGTACTAATGCAGATTTTTTTTTGTGTCAAAATTGATAACAGTTTTGGTCTAAAAACTTAAACGAGTTTATGGCTACAGGCCTTTTATAAGACAGACCTTGGTTTGCTGTTTAATCCTGCCCATTGTGGTAGTTGAAATCCAAGAAAAAAACACAATCAGAGCAGCAACTTCAGAGGATGAGACTAAGGTCGCATTCAGAACAGATGATTTGCGGTCTATCTGAACCACGGACTATAAATATGGCTAACCCCACTTAACTTTTGGTGATCTCTCCGCCTCAACACGCACCATTTAGTGGATTAAATCTCAGCTCCAAGGTTTAATTGCTAGGCCCCTGCATCTGTTAACCTGCAAATCAACTTGTTCTGAATGCATTTGTACCAAGATAAAACAAAACGCTATCACGATCACAAATGTTTTTTTTTTTTTTTTACCCTGCATCCTCTGACATTTGCTTGGTTAAAACAAACTAGAAAATTTAAGTTGAATATATTTACTTAAACGTCTTCTAATCCAGAAAGCAACTTTGTGATATATGAAATTATAGCTTGATTAACTGATGTTTTTCTCTTACAAATTACATTAAGTGAGTAATACTAAGTACAAAGCATCACTAAGTATAAAAAGCTATTTAGTTAGGTATGAATGGAACTCTGAGATTAAATCTCCAATAGGTGTCCAGTTCTTGGAAGGCTTTTTAGTCCCGAACACTGTGGTAGTTGAGACAGTTGAGCACAAAAACACAATACTGGCGCAACAACTGCAGATGAGATTCTACTTGCACCAAGAAGAAAAAAAATACTGCTGTCACAATCACAGTTGAGTTTTCCCACTGAGCAGCTTCTGGATGGTGTTTGTTAAACCAGAATCTAAGTCTATGAATTCCCTTGTCCTGAATGTGAATACTTTTACATAAAAGACGCCCTGTTCAGAAAGTTCTTTGTGAATGAATAAAAGGCAGTTTATTTGATTTCTGAGACCCCATTCCCACAGATTTTAGATCGATCTATCCCCATGGGGAGTCTCACTAGATTACTGTCAGCTTTGCCGGCTTAAATGTCTGTCCCGCCTACTGAAAGCTGTAAGGGGGTAATTAACTTCTGTGCGCGCTCGGCTGACAGCAATTTAGCATGAACCCCCAAGGAGTTAGGTCGATCCAAATAGATCGATCTTAATCTGTGGGAATGCAGTCTTACTCCACTTATATTTTTAGAATTGAGGAAATGATACAAAACGCATGCATAGGTAAGTTTGAAAATAGTTGGTAAGCAATGTGTGTCTGTATTAAATTACAGTGCTGGCAGGAATCTTTTTTATTCAAACTTTAAAGACCGCATGAAACTATATTAAGAAACAATTTATAGATTAAATTTTAGTGCTACATAGAAGCTAACAAGATCATGGAAAAATACACTGACTAATGAGAAGGGAAATGAAGGCTGACAACCACTCTTTATGGTAGGAAATTGTGACACAGTTAAATTTGGGGTCTTGATCTTTCAAAATATGTCTACCCTCTTTGACGGAATCTTGCGCTGGATTTTGCTATTAAATTTGATTAAATTAAGTGCCAAAAGTTGGTACTGTTTAGGGTAGTGATATATATATTTTTGTATATATGAGGCACCATTACTTTTATTTATTGTAATGAAGTTTCAAAAGTGTTTACATGAATGTAACATATATTGTATGTATCATACGATGCAGTGTTTTTAGTTTACAGGGATTTACAGTTTTATTCCACAGCATAAGAAAACTTAAGGAGAAGTTGGAGGTATTCAGTGTACATTCTTGATGTTGTGGCAAGTTGAAAAAAAAAACGAGGTTGTGACTCGTCATGGACTTGAACCTCGCTGACTTGATGTGTTCACAAACATGTTGACTTGTAGTCAAAACTTAATTGATACAATGGCCTCCTTCAGTGGCTTAGCTTACTGTTGTGTTCATGTAATTTTGTTAGAGATGTGTGTTATTCACTCTAAATTTCCTTGTGTGATTTTGCTGTTACGTGACACAAATAAGGTGTAAAAATTAAAGGAAAATATCAGGTTTCAGAAACAGCGAAATTGGTAAGAAAGAAGATATTTTAATTCTTTTATAATTGTGAATACTTTAGTTTATATACTTTATATACTTTAGTTTTATAATTTATCTGAATTGATATAGAATTATATAACTTGAGCATACATATAAACAGTAATGAAGAATAAAAAAAAAAACATTGCTTTGTTTTGGCTAGAATTCTGTCCATGCAAATGTTTTCAAACAACATGAAAGCCGCCATGGCAGACCATTTAGCAGGTTTGAAAAATTGGCCCTGACAGGGAACTGACCAGTAAACTGCTACAGGGTTTCTAAAAACAAATGTATCCTCTCTGGTCATAGGATTCCATGAAAGAAGAGCTGATGAGGTGTTGTCACTGGCCAGTTTTTCAATGACTCCAACAACACTGACCTCTCACACTGCTTGTTTGAGTTGGAGGAGTCTTATATCTTTTGGATATTTTGTTAGCAGTAGCCGGGAAGTCAGTTTAATTCAATCAGCCAAGAGAACCAACACCCAACTATAAGAAAGTGAAGACATATGTTGAATAGTCGAAGCAGAAAGCCTGTTTGATCAGCACAGTTGATTATGCCACATCAAAAGAGGTGCTTGTAATGTATGATTACGCTTTAGAAGCTGCTCATGACAAAGAAGAAAACATATATTTGAACTGTCATAGCACCAGGTTACCATTAAAATGTGATTACGTAGAGTTCATAGCTCATGATGGCAAACCAGATTTTTATACCGATGGCAAAGAGATGAAAACAGGGACAGAAACTGCCTTGGCAATATGCAAACCACATACTGTGGGCATAAGACTATTGATCTTGAACTGATCTGTTGTTCTTTTTGTCTCTCTCTCCTGCCCCCCCCCCCCCCCCCCCCAACAAAAATACCATAATTCCACTCCTGTTTTGTATATTGAACTGGAATACGTATAGTAGCAGACTGCATCTTCAAATGAAGTACTTGACCCAGAATGCTTAGAGATAACTGTTAGTTCACTTATGATGTAGGTGTGGAGTACTGCACTTTAGTCCTTTGAAATATGATCTGGTTTTTTTTTGTACCAAGTTAAGGGCAGGCCCCAATGACCATATGTTTTTACTGAATTGGTCATACATGTGTATAAACCCTTACTCCCCTGTACATGCACAACTTTTTGACTAATTTAAAATAAAAAAGTAAGAAAATCACAAACTTTTGCTCACATAAATTTCAAACTTGGTATTTTCAATTTTGCTTCACAATTATCAAACAAATATGTTTTTTGCTGACTCAAGTCAAATAAAAAATGGAGGTTAAATATTTTTTATTTTTGCAAGCCAGAATGAATTTTGTGAAGGCATAGAGGGCACATATTTTTTGTGTCAAATTAAACAGGGTTTTGTGAATGATTAGCATCATATGATTTGAATACACCACGTTTCAACATTGGAATGGCATCAGTTGTAAAAAAGCACCAACTTTGAGATCATGCAATTCTAATGTCCATGATCAGGCCTGTAGGCGGGAGGTTGCCCTTTTTGACCAGCAAAAGATCTATTCTGAATCAAAATCAAAATTTGATCAAGTTTCTGCTCCATTATTGTAAAAACGTTCACTATTCCAGGAAAAATACCTCCTCCTGTTGAATTTGTCCCAGGAACTTGGTACCTATTAAATATTCAGTGTTATTTCTTACCATTTCTCAGACTACACAAAGTATAAATTATACTGCTAATTTGAAATTTGAATATATGCCAGATATAGGCCATATACACATTGCATTCAGTTTATAACCTGGCGAAAAATTACCCAAACGAAGGAAGTATTTTAAAACTTCAATTTTCCAGACTGATTTAGCATTTTAAAACTTCAATTTTCCAGACTGATTTTAGCAGTCAAGCAGAGTGTGAAATGTGTTGTATACATTTTTAGTTGTGTGGTGCCTTTAGTAGGCTAATGTCTCATTTTGTTTATGTTGTGGTGGAGGAACCTTCTGAACTTAACTTTCCAGGAATAAACTGTGTCACCCAGTAGAAAATGTTTTTATCATCGAGCTGCTTGTTATATTGCGTGAAATAAGACCATTTGCCCTGTGCCATACTTTTTTTTGTAATAATTGCATTCTCTTGCATTTAGGGTTAAAATTTTATGTACTTATTTTAGATTTAGCATGTTGATCTATGTTTTTTAACAGTATATTGAACATGTTATCGATCATTTTGCATAAACATGTTAAGAGGATTTTGATTTAAAAGTTTAGATTTTTAGAACTTTTCACAAGTGTAACATTACAGTTTTTTTTTTCCAAATCAACTAGTGTGTTCCATTAATGGACAGAAAGCAGGTTGAATTCATTATCCTATGCAGGTTTAGAGAAGTTACATTTTAGTTATTTTAAGTGTACGAATCAAATGAATTGAAGAAGTTTTGCATTATAGGTCATTCTAAGTCAGACTTCGGCTAAAACTGGTTTGGGTTTAAAACATGTTACAAGACTCTGACCTTCTGTCTCACAAAGGTATCACGCTGCTTCTCAGACAATTAAATCACTGTTTCTTAAATTAATCTGGTTGTCTAGCAATATATTTTAGATCTGAAATTAATATTTTAATTATTGTACATGACTGTTTCACATTGCAAAATAACCCATTGCAATTGCAATGGTTTTCAATCTAATGCAATGGACTGTTTGCCACCAACCCATCAGAATATATGTTACACAATGATGCTAATTTCTATAATGGCATAATGGTGTTAGCAAATGAAAGGTGGAATGTGATTGGCTGGTAAACTGAAATTGTAACTGAAATAGCTGAAATAGAGGTATTGCAGTTGGAATGAGAGTGTACATATCATAAGTGTGTCTTGAGAGCTGATTTTTTAGTTTTTACTTCCTTATTATCACATATATAAAGCACTGACATGGGTCTGAAATTGAGAGAGGTTAACTTGTTCTGGCTAAAATATCATAAGCATCACTTAAAATAAAATGCAAGGGGAACAATTAAGTTAAATGTTAAAAAAGAAATAGTTAAAGATTACCTATTCTGATTAATTTTACTGTGCATTTTGAAATCGTTGCCTTTCAGTATCATTTAACATATTCAAGAAAAATTTTGTGCCAAGTTATTGTTAGTAAAATATTTCAAGTCAGTCCAAATGATAATGGTATGGTGACCCATATTTAGATATAATCGTTTAAACTTTATGGTTTGTTTATGTATCAAAGTGGTTTTGTCTTTAAAAGCAACTCCTTAAAGAAAACTTATGCAAATAGTAACTTTTGAAAAAATAGACCACTGAAATCCTTATGCTATTTCTTTCACAAGACTCAAAAATGACCACTCTGTCTTAAAGTTCTTCTGTGCAGGAGGCTCTGTAGAATTACAATACAGTGGACACCATGCACTGACCAAGGCTTGCAGTGGCAGTTATATAGAAACAGTTTAAGTTTTATTTTTGAATGCTATTTTATGTCTAGGACCCACCAAACAGTGGCTTCTAGCCTGTTTTTAATAACGGTCCTCAAATTTCACTGCTCTCAGTGAGGTTTTGCTACTGATATGTACCATTAAATTAATTTCTTAGAGAGGGGTAGAATTAGCATAAAAGGCTCTTGGTCATTGTAATAATATAGGGATGATTACTTTGTCCAAGGTTGATGGATAAAGGCAACAGGAGACCTGGGGTTCCCATACCAGAATTTAATTTCACAGGAATGCTTCCTAGTAGTTACTTGAGCATACAAATGTATACAGCTGTTTTCAGTTTAGTCATTTGTTTTCTTTGCAATTCCCAGGCTCAGAATGCAGCTCTGTGGAAGAGGCTATGTCTGGTCCCGCTGCCCAAATTCATTTAGAGGAATTGTGCATGCTGATTGGTTACATGTGTGCGGTTGCCAGCACATCAGAGGTAAGCGGTGGTGGCGGCAAGGGCTCAGACTGTGAAGCAGCAACAAGCAGGCCACTTCTCCAGTCTCACGCTGCAGAAGCTTACGCCAGCCAGCAAGACAGCAGTGAGCCAAGCGTCTGGACAAGTCTTGGTAGAGTCCTGGCACTGGAAGCAGGTCACTTCTTCACGACAGAGAACTGACCACCATGTCAGGATACTGACCACTTGTTTTGGACACTGGGGAAGAAGAGGCATATTAAGCTGCAGTTGTTGTTGACCTGAGTGACCAGCTTGGACAGGAAACTGGACGTTGAAAAGAAATACTGAGAGAAGACAAGTTTTGTGCGCCAATATGCTGCGGTCTCGTAGAGAGAGCTTGAATTCAAGGCCGACCTCTAGCTTTATGAAGATGACGACTTTAAGCCATCAGCTATGCTTTGTGATTATATGCCTTATAGCTACTTTTTACAGCTCACAAGCAGCCAATGTTCCCTTACCTCAAGGTAAGATAACACCCGGCTCTTTTGTTGTCACACTGTTTACACCCCCCCTTAACCACCCTCTGACAAGCTCCATTGTTTTTTATGCTTATCCTATTTGTTATTATTGCATTTTTGTTGTGTCTCATCTGACTCTAAACATTCTTCGTCAGGCATCATTTAAAAGTTTCAGTTCAAATTATATGCTGACCTGCAAAGAATGTACATTTTTCCTTTTCCCTGACTAAGATCTGTGTTGTGATAAAATTGCAGAAAGTTATTTGACACAAAATGTAATTTTAATACCGAAGGATGCTGTGTTACTTCATGGTATGTTACAGTTTCCGTTTCCCCACTGTCCAATTAATGTTTTTTTTTGTCACATTGCATGTGTGTTACATTAATGTTTAATGTTGACAGTTTGATTGCCTTTTCCATGTTTTAAGAAGTTACTTGTATTGCAGATTATGTTTTGACACTTAATTATGTAGTCCTGCTCAGACAAGAACTTCCGTGGACCGGAAATTGATCAAACTTGTAACTTCAACCAACCAGCTTAATGTTTTCTGGTGTAAATTAGTCACCCTCTGAAAAGACCATAATGAGCTAAGTTGGTCTGATACCTGGCCTAATTTAGTCCTTATCTGAACAAGTCCTGCTGACCCAAATTGGTCGGATACCTGGTCTATATTAGCCATTCTCTCAACAGACTTCGATACAATTCAAGATAAGACTTTTCCTATTGGAGGAAAGTGCATGACCTGATAAAAAAGGGCAAGGAATCTTTGGGCACTGCATTCTTTTATCTAAGGTGTCTGGACCTATTAGAGATAATTCATGGTGAAGCATTGTTCTACTTTGAAACGTCCAGATGCTTTGCCAAAATATTTTGACCAGATATTCTTATAATTAGAATAATATGCTTTTATGTTCCAAGTTGTTGTAAGTTCAAGTTAGTTCTATAAAGATTGTGTCTTTAAGGACAACACTGGAACAATGTAGGTTTCTTTTTTAGGTATGTTTGAGTAAGAGTCAGGCGTAAAGTCTGAATTCATAATTTATTTGCCAAGAGCACCGTCAATGAAAGACCAATGTGTGCCACTGGAAGTACAGTTTAGTGATTCTGTGGTCTTGAAAAATTTCATAAAATACGGTAATTATAAATGAAATTTGAAAAAAAAAATGAAAAAAATTTAACCACCAGTAATTTTTGTTGGTAAAATATTTAATGATGATTCTGAAGTTTTGAAAAGTTGTCAACTTTGGTTGGAAAGTACATTCTGTGAGTAATTAAAAATGATAAAATATACAAAAAAGTTCAATTTTAGAAAAAGTCATTTTTGAAAATGTCAAGGATTTACCATTTCCCTTATTGAATTAGGAAGTGATATTATGGTTCAATGGTTACTGTAAAGAACTACTGTGTTTGTGTTTTCCAGATCATTCATTGATGGATTTGTTCCTTCTTTCTTGTTTAAACAGCCTTGTTTTACATTTTCTTAAAGCTTAAGATTGCTAATTGTGTTTTGTATTATACAGTTCTTATAATATATTGCTCTAAGTGAAAAGTCACTGGGCTATGAAAAACCAAAGTGATTAAGTCATGAGAGACTGGAAACTTGTTGTGTAATGTTTTAAAACACAGGCATACAATCACTTTACAAATGTCTCTTTTCATTCAGATCCTTTAGGCCCTTCAACAAATAGCAAACAACAGTTCCTATTGCAAGGGTAATTTTAAAATGTAATGAGTTAGACATTTATTCCTAGGACTGAAGTAGAACAGAAATTGTAATGTTTGCAGATCTGTGAAGTAGTCGCCATTTAGGACAATGTATGGTCCTGTTGTGAAGTGAGGCAAGGAACATAAAAATCCACACAATATTACACTGTGAGTCTGGCAGAACATTAGTCCGTGACATACATTATACAGCCCACAGTCTGATAATCATTTCTCGGTTGCATTTTAATTCAAAACTGGCATGCTTGAAATTCCTCAAGTTGCCTTTGGTTGGAAAGTATGTCCTGTACTTGTTCACTATTTATTTAGAGCACTCTTGTCTCATTCAAGTAATCAGGATCAGGTTTCTGGCACTCTTTACTGGGGTCTTTTTTGACTGCAGTTATGAATGAATGGCACATTATTAGGGTAAAGAAATTGAGGTTGCTGAAAGTGACACCTGGATTCACTTCACCTAATCGACCCCCTCCGTGAATAAAACTGTCGAAAAAAAAGCCTATCAGATTAGAATTTAACCTCAGACTGAAAACATTTGCACGAAAGAGTTGTTTTTTCTCTTAAATTTTCTTATGTTACCTAATTTGTCCCCACTTAGTCAAGTTTTCTTTATATTAACTACGAAATGTCTCTGACTCTTTTGATAATGCCAAGATGCAGTGTTAATGGTTTCTCCCGTAATCTAAAAGATCTAAAAGATAATAACCTGTAGTTACATTGGCTTAAGTTTTGTAAGGTATCTTTGGTAAATATTTTGTAGATGTCAGTGTTTATTGTTTTAAGTCTAAATAATGTTTGCACAAGAATAAGAAACACCCCTTCAATGTAAAAGACTTTGTATATCAAACAGATGGACAAACTAGGTATAAAAAGTGAATTATAACTTCATTCAGGGTGTAATATGTTTAGAATTAGAACTCTGGAATCACCTGTAGCTTAAATGAGGACTTTGTTTCAAAGTGCAACTTTTTAAGAAGATGAATTTTGGAATTGCCTCTACCTATAGCAGATGGTTGAATGAAGACTTTGTCTTATAGTGAAAGATGATAGGCAGAAGACCTCTGGCCTTGCCTCCAAGTTGATTACCTTGGCTTTATTGTCAATAGGACAGCAAGTGGTTATGTGGAGTTTGTGTAAAATAATGCCACAGATGCCTTATCTAAAGGCCAGTCTGCAGAAAGTGTTACAAAAAACCAAACATACATCTATTTTGATGTCCTATAAGATATGAATCGGATTACTTTTGCTCTTCCTGAAATAACATTTATTCTGTTCCCCTGTAGTTTCAGAAGCACTCTAGTATCTGCAGTCACATTGCAGATTTATTTATGAATGTAGTGGTACAGGTACATGGGACATGAAGTTAATGTGGATGGGAAAGGAAATAACTTTTTAAAAGTTCAAACATAATTAAGATTATTTATAATTATGAAGATGTGGGTCATTGATTTTGCAAGAAAAAAAGAAATAATTGAAAAGATATTGTCGGTATTTCCTATTTTATACATATGTAGCTGACATAAGAAAATTATTCCATCAGATGTATGGAAAATAATAAAATGTGAATATTCAGAAGAAACTTTAATATTTATTTGAACATTAGACCTTAGCTGCTAAAAATGTACCTACACTTCCAGTATTTCAGGAGAAACAATTTTAAAAATTGGCACTTTTTTTTTGTAGTTAAATAAACTGTCGGCGGTACATTTCTAGTAATACTCTTTCAAAGGCCAGTCCTTAAAGCAATTACCAAAGTTGATCTTCGTCTTTTAGTATTGCTAGGATTCCTTGACAACGGTTAAGAGAGAAATTCAGCTTGGTAAATTCATTTCAAACCATTATAATCTGTGGTGCGACTGTGGCTTGGCCTGTTACTTGATGCATTTCCGCTCAGACAGAAACCAGCAGGGACAAATGCAATTTCTGTAACATACAGTAATTCAGCACAGTTTAGTTTATGCAGCAAGAGGTAATAGAACCCATTATGCCCACAGTTAAACAGTTGAAACTCGCGTAAACCGAACAAGTACACCATCCTTCAAATTGATTTGCATTTGTGCTGATGCTACAATTATGAATGAAATAAGCATATAAGCAGCCTGTTGCTCTAAACTTGATTTGCGTTTGGACAATTTATTTGGGAATGATGATGCTTTTGTAGTATTTTCTTTGGAATGGTGCCTTTTTTAAACATAAAAAAGAAATTTATAGCAGCCTCCCATAATTCAGTCACACAGCTAGTGAAACACAATACATCACTCTGTCTGGAATGTGCACAGTAACAAGGGCAGGTAGAGTAAATGTAGTTTTTGGTAAGGTTTGGCCTATGGTAAAACTGGAACCTTATTCTCAAAGCTCTTGCTTGTTTATATATTCTTCAGCTCAAGCCCTCTGCTCTTCATTTAATGTTATATACTTGAAGTGCTGTTATAATATGCTTTTTAAATTTTGGAATTAGGCAGTGTTGCATGAAGTCTTATAGGATACTTTCACATTTCTGGTCTCAGACCGAAGCAAAAAGACCAAATTCTTGACTACTGTAAGGCTAAATATTGTACCATGCATGTCTGTTATCAAGTCCTGTGGTGATACAAGTTTGGATGATTCTCAGTCCAAACCAGTCCAGTTTGAGCACGGTTCTTTCACCAGCTACTAGTATATAAGGCCATGGTTTGTCAAATGTCAGACACTTTCCATATTTAAATTAAATAATGTGAAAAGTCCCTTGTGTGTACACACTTGTGAGTGGGTTATCAGCTAGAACACCGAGTTGATGTTGACTTTAATGTGCCCTTTATTGAAATACATGGATGGCAACTGTGACCCGTTTAAAGATTAATAGGTGGCCAGTGCCAAATACCAGTCTGCTTTCCAGCATTCTTCAACAAGTCTGAGGGAGTTTGTTGTGCACTTTTACTTAATACCACTTTCTCAATTAGCAAGTTATGTCATTTTGACATAGGTCTGCAATAGATAGATAGATAGATAGATAGATAGAAAGATAGAAAATATGGCAATTAATAAAAGTTTGAAATTCCTCTTAAAATTAAGTATTAGCAAAGAATATGCCAGTATACAATATATCTGTCTCTTCATAAAAGTTTACAATTTTGAACTTTCCATCATGATAACATACACAGGGTCACCTGTCTCCAACCAAAAGCTCAAATCTGGAGCACCCTGAAATACAGTGATATTGTACTCAAATTATGCTGCTGTTATGATAATACTATATCTTATAGAGAGAGAGGTTGGTACTCAAGGAAATCTGTAAGTCCAAGCACAG